TTATTATTATTATTGTTATTATTATATATTATTATTATTATTATTATTATTATTATTATTATTATTATTATGTTTATTATTATTATTATTATTATTATTGTTATTGTTATTATTATTATTATTATTATTATTATTATTATTATTATTATTATTATTATTATTATTATTGTTATTATTATTATTATTATTATTATTATTATTATTATTATTATTATTATTTATTATTATTATGTTTATTATTATTATTATTATTATTATTTATTATTATTATTATTATTATTATTATTATTATTATTATTATTATTATTATTATTATTATGTTTATTATTATTATTATTATTATTATTATTATTGTTATTATTATTATTATTATTATTATTATTATTATTATTATTATTATTATTATATATTATTATTATTATTATTATTATTATTATGTTTATTATTATTATTATGTTTATTATTATTATTATTATTGTTATATTATTATTATTATTATTATTATTATTATTATTATTATTATTATTATTATTATTATGTTTATTATTATTATTATTATTATTATTATTATTATTATTATTATTATTATTATTATTATTATTATTATTATTATTATTATTTTTATTATTATTATTATATTGTTATTATTATTATTATTATTATATTATTATTATTTATTATTATTATATTATTATTATTTTTATTATTTTACAATAATATTAATAATAATTATTGTAACATTAACATCATTCATTTCCTTACGAATGGGAAAGTAATTAGATTTACCTGGAGTGTACCTGGAGAGGGTTACAGGGGTCATCGCCCCCGAGGCCTGGTCCATAACCAGACCTCACGGTGGATCAGGGCCTGATCAACCAGGCTGTCATTGTTAGCCGCACGCAAACCAACGTACAAAACCACAGCCTGGCTTTTCAGGCACTGACTTTAAAAAAAGAAAATCAGTGAGGCTGGTGTTGCTGATACGAGACACAGACATCCTTCAACACCATGAAGGTTCTCCTTCCCTGACACTCTGAAAGCAATTCCAAGAATATTCACCAAGAAATAAATTAGATAAGTGTTTTCATATACCGTGTGAAGGCTTCCAGCCTTCAGGTAATTGTTACACCACCAGGTGTAACAATTACCTGTGTACACATCCACCAGGTGTAACAATTACCTGTGTACACATCCACCAGGTGTAACAATCCATAAGGCAATTTTCTTATGTTTTGTGAGTTGAAGATTTATTATGGCAGTTGTAAACATGTTAAGTGTAACAATTAATACGTAATTTTCGTATATTTTGTGTAGAGAAGATTTATTGTAGCTTTGGTTTATAATGTATTTTTCATGGAGAACAGTTAAGTGTCGTAATTTCCAGTTAACTGTAGTGTTAGATTAGGAGAGTAAAGTTAGGTATCGTATCTGCTTTTGGTTTAGCGGACGGTGGTTCGAGTTTTTACCAAGTCCGGTGCTGAATGAAATACAAGTACAGGAGAACACTGCAGCAGGCTTACTGGCCCATGCTAGGAAGGTTCACAGTGCACACTCCCACCCATACTCATGTACCTGTCCGGCCCATTGTTGTTAGTCTTCTTTTAGATATTTTCATTGCGTTATTCGTTATTTATATTCCATTTACTTCTGTCTTCCATTTGTACACCTCAGTCATATCTCCGCTAATTCTACGTCTTTCATGAGAGTGAAAATTCAGCGCTTTCAGCTCGTCCTTGAAGGAAGGATTTCTTCTGATACATGGTATGATTGGTATTAACTTGGTTATCCTTCTCTGAATGTTTTCCGGCGCATTTATGTCCATTCTATGAAATAGAGATCAAAACTGCGCAGCATAATCTAAATAAGGCCTTACTAAGACCTTACTAAGGCCTTACTAAGGCCTTACTAAGGCCTTACTAAGGCCTTACTAAGGCCTTACTAAGGCCTTACTAAGACCTTACTAAGGGCTTCTGTTATTTCTGCTTCCTTATTACGACCACTTATGCACTGCTCTCTTGGTCTTAAATTCCTGTTGACCAGATCTCCTTAGTCTTAGTTTTGTTTTCGCTTTGTTGAAATATATTTTATGTAATTTATAAGTGTCATGGTTATTTCCTATTTTTCAAGAATAGGATCTTGCATTTGTTCACGTTAAACTGCATATGCTCTTTTTCCGACTACATTATCAACTTATCCATGTCACTTGTAACTTGCTAATGTCTTCAATAGAAGTTATTTCTTGGCCTATTTTAGTGTAATCAGCAGACTTGCTTATATTAATATTTATTCACTCATTTATGTAGTTTATGTATAGTGTGAACAGCAAGGGACCCAATACTGATCCCCGTGAAACACCACTGCTAACGGAACCCCTTTACTTATGACTCCCTATTTATGTAAACTGTTGCTCATCGGTCAGCTAGGCCTTGATCCTGGAGATAATTTTTCCTTCTATTCCATGTGCTGCTACTATCATCAATCTCTACATCAATAGCCTTCCTGAAATCCAGGTACACAATATGTCTTCTTTATTTTGGTCTACAGCTTCAAGTACCTTTGTGAAAAGGTTAATTAATAAATTTGTAAGGCACGGTTGCCCCTTTGTTAAACCGCGATGAGATTCACTGATCAAATTATATCTTGTATAGGTGGCTTAGAAAACCTGTAAGTTAATAACTGAGACACTCTTGCATCATGGAGGTAACAAATGCGCATCAGTTTGAAGCTTTTAATGCTATGCAGATCTTAAAATATGCACGTATGCTGAACGGATAGAGCGTTTGAAATTTTTAAACATAGAATCAGTAATAAGGCCTTCAAATGTCTTAGGTTTGTAAGGTGTTTAATGTTTCAGGAAGCAGTTATGACGATGGTCAGATATGAGGAAAGGTTCAGTGTTTGAGGTGACGGAACGCTGTTATCAGACGATCAGATGAGCAGGTGAGGTGTCAGACCACTATTGGACGTCCAGGTGAGCAGGTGAGGTGTCAGACCACTATTGGACGTCCAGGTGAGCAGGTGACGTGTCTGGCTACCGTTGGACGTCCAGATGAGCAGGTGACGTGTCTGTCTACAATTGGACGTCCAGGTGACTAGGTGAGGCAGTCATACCACGGAGTTCAGAACAGGTAATCCAGTGGTCACTGCTGCCGTGGTCCACCATAGTAACACACGGACCACTGAGTACAGTATAAGCAATCCAGTGGTCACTGCTGCAGTGGTCCATTTCAGGGCCATTGGTTACCTCACCTTCACATATATTTAGAGGTATACACGTGGAAGTCAAGTATACATGAAGGAAGTATAAGCAGAGTGCTAAGGATACCTACACAAGAAATAAAAAGAGTAAATTAAAGTTAGAAAATTCAGTTCTAAAAGAATAGGAACATATAGATTTAACATTAGTTAATGTTGAGTGGATCAAACTACAAAGTAGAGGTATTGAAAGTAATACTTTAGATAGCTTTAAAATACAGGCTAGTTAATTATATGCTGTAGTAATGGATGAGTGAAGGTCCTATCCTGGCACTGGGCAGTTGGTACAGTACAGCAGTCGTCAGTTCCTATGTTGTTACACTGTCTTGCTGCTGAGCAAGTCCTCTTCTGAGGACGTGGAGGTGGAGATAAGTCCTCTTCTGAGGACGTGGAGGTGGAGATAAGTCCTCTTCTGAGGACGTGGAGGTGGAGATAAGTCCTCTTATGAGGACGTGGAGGTGGAGGTAAGTAGCAGGTGGAGTGAAAATGGCATAAAATACCTACATGATGTTATTAGAGACACAGAAAGAATTAATTAGGTCACCCCGATGTTGGATGTTTAAGGGGTTGCCAGAATGTTTTTCGCATCACACCTTTCTTTTATCTTAGCAAGAGAAAGCCTCATTCGACTGGTTTCGAATTTTCAACGCTGTTGTACGGTAACTAAGACCAGATTCTAGGAACAACTGGTACGTGAAGATGACCCATGACCAATCTTATTGAGCTCATTCCCAGCATCCTGGTATGACCGAGATAACTTCCTAAATCCTGAGTGATGGAACTTCCAACATTCAAGTAAAATGTCTACTAATACAACTACGACAGAAAGTGATATTTAAGTGCGTAAATGTATATCTGATCATTTTATGTGTGGAATAGTGTGAAATAGCGATTCCTTTTTAATCATGTTAGATATAGATGAGTCTTCTTGTGAACGGCTTCAATATATAACGACTGATTCACGAAATCGTAATGACCGATTGCAAACAAACCATACCACGGGTGGAGATAGAACCCGTGGTCAGAGAGTCATAAAACTCCAGACCGTCGCGTTAGCCACTAGACCAGCTAGCCACAATAAGATTCATCCAACTAGGTATATTTCTACACCATAGGAAGGTTAGCACAGGCACCACTGTGACCACAAATGCAAGTTTTTACAGACGAATCTCCCGCCAGCGTGGCCGTGACGAACTCTAGCTCAAGTCCCCTCAAAGCAGTCATCAGTGGTGCCTATGCTAACCTTCCTATGGTGTATAAATATACCTAGTTGGATCAATCTTATTGTGGCTAGCTCTGGTCCAGTGGCTAACGCGGTCTAAAGTTTTATGACTCTCTGACCGCGGGTTCTATCCCCACCCGTGGTATGATTTATAATGACTGATGCATCTCATGTTTAATTTCTATGCTGGCAAATTTGTCACTATTAAATTAGCGTATAAAACTTGAAATTGTTAGAGTCCGTGTGATAACTGGGGAAAGTTTCTTCTGATGGTCATTAAACTTTTAGTCCTGGTGTGTTTTCCAGGAATCAAGGTTGGTGCTGCTACTGGACTGCATAAGTCCCAATTTTCTAATTTTATTAAATAATTTGTGTGTGTTCCAGGTGTGTCAGTTCACATTCCACGTGTGTTGCTATGTGCTGAAGGTATGTTAGAGTGTTGCAAGAGTGCCAGTGTGTGTGTTACAGATGTCATGATATATCACCGTGTGTCGTAGGTGGTATGAGGGGATTAGTCCTGGTGTTGGCCCTTTGGGGGGTGGCAGCCACAACAGAGATAGACTGGAAGCCTTCAAGACAGCAGGGAGGAAACCTCCTTCCAACAAGAGCAACGGCAAGGAGATCAGCAACAACAGCCAGACTGACAGCTCACACTAGACAGGAGAGCCTTCCTGAACATCGTCCTGTCATCAGAATAGCAGCAGAAACGGTAAGACTACCAAATGTAAGTCTTTGTTTAGTATGATTTACAGGCCAAGAGCTGTTATTCAACCTCTGTCCATACAGACTAAGAACTGTTATCCTACCTATGCTCACTCAGAGCTAATAATTTTACTCAACTTATTTCAAGGTTAGTGAGTGGTAATGAATTCTGAAATGACAGAAATGACTGGCGTTTTCTCCCAAAATTTTGTGCAGTGACGGGTTCAAGACCTTGAAGTAGGAAGTGATGGTAGATAGAGGTAGTAGTTGATGGTAGACAGAGGCAGCAGTTCATGGTAGACAGAGGCGGCAGCAGTTGATAACAGATTAGACAGTAGCAGCAGCTGATGATAACAAGATAAAATAATAACAAGCAGAAATTTGATTCCTAAACACTAATAAACTTAATATCCATTACCTTCACTATTTTACTAATAGTGATCATTCTATCAGTGGCAGCCATATTTCCTGATCAGCTGTGACGGTGGTGGCACTCCTGTGTACTCTGGCATCATGTGGGACCTTCTCTTGATTATCTTAGATAAGATGAATCTCAGGTGCGTATTGACCTATCTGTAGTGACCAATTAATAAAGACCCATTAGTTATAACCTATTACTGATTCAGTATTAATATTGACTCGTTTTCATAGTTTGTATGAGTGTATGTGTGTAATGCTATTTTGTTTACCATGTGTTGGTCTTAGGTTCGAGATTGTGCGTCCTCCTGATGGGTTATGGGGCGTGGCTGACGCTAATGGGTCGTGGAACGGCATGTTGGGAATGATTCAGAGGCAGGTGGGAGTTATGGGACTGGTCATTCCACCTGAGATTACAGTCACAACGATGGTGGGGGTTGTGACTACATTTGTGTGTCACAGATCACACGCAAACACACACAGACACAGACAGACAGACCGACAGACAGACAGACAGATAGATAGACAGACAGACAGACAGACAGGCACACACACACACACACACGCACACACACACACACACACATGCTGTTGCTTTATGAAAGCCTTTACTGAAGCAACGTTTGGCTTGGAGACCTAGTAGAAGGTGATCTCTGAGCGACACGTTGTCTCAATAAAGGTGTTTTGCTCTATAAATAACAAAAAATGATGTTATATACTGTAGAAACACACACAAAAAGGAGACACGACTTTGCTACACAGTGAACATTCTAATGCTGACAAACATGACAACAGAACCTCCATTATGAGATACTTGGAGCCAGAATCACTACGAGATGTGACCTGGTCTCTTTGGATGAAGTGGGAACGATAACCTTTACGAAATATCACTTATGCTGACTAAAAAGTCACATTACCATGGGTGGAACAATTCACAGATCAATTATGTTCTTGTCACAGGCCGTTCTTTGCATATTTTCTGCCTGATCATATTGTGCTTAGATGGAATAATAACGTAATCCTTAACGAAATGTTAATTATGATCATACCATTGCCAGTTGTTTGCATTTTCTGCCTCTTTACTATACGACTTGAAGTATGAAGGCTATTACTGTTTGCTAGGAGGTGGATATGGCCCTGGGTCCCTTCGCTGTGTCGTACCAGCGTACCAAAGTAGCAGATTTCCCAGCTACTATCTTCGTGCTCCCTCACCGTTTGTACCTGGCCAGACCCACAGGCTCGTACAGTCTTGGTGACTTCGTCAGGCTGTATCAACCCAAGGTAACTACCTCCTCTATATTTTGTATAATACATCTCCATCGACGAGAAGATCTTGTATAATACAACTCCATCCACTAGAAGGGTGTATGTCCCAGTGTATACTATACATCTGAAAGCTTACTTTAATCTTTATTTTAGGTATTAAAGTATTCTTGACTGGTGATGAAGAGGTGACCTGCAACCTTGATGACCCTCGTGTGGTCGATAGGGTTTAAACCCTATTAACCAGTCTCATATTTCTTCACTCACTTATGGACATAACATCGCATTTCTTACACCGCAGGTGTAGGGGTATGTGTGTCTCGTTACACAGGTGTAGTTCCTGTTGGTGTGGGTGATTGTGTCACTCATCACACAGGTGTGGGTGATTGTGTCACTCATCACACAGGTGTGGGTGATTGTGTCACTCATCACACAGGTGTGGGTGATTGTGTCACTCATCACACAGGTGTGGGTGATTGTGTCACTCATCACACAGGTGTGGGTGATTGTGTCACTCATCACACAGGTGTGGGTGATTGTGTCACTCATACACAGGTGTGGGTGATTGTGTCACTCATCACACAGGTGTGGGTGATTGTGTCACTCATCACACAGGTGTGGGTGATTGTGTCACTACATCACACAGGTGTGGGTGATTGTGTCACTCATCACACAGGTGTGGGTGATTGTGTCACTCATTACACAGGTGTGGGTAATTGTGCTACTCATCACACAGGTGTGGGTGATGGTGCTGGTGAGTATCGTCGTGACTACAGCAGCAGTATGGCTCACTACAGGCGTCAAAGGCTCTTTTAACCCCGTCAAGAACACCTCCTTCAGAAGGACCACCACCTCCTTCACATACATATTCCTGCACGTGTGGGGCGCCCTCCTACAGGCGTGTGAGTAGCTCGGTTTCACTCCTTACGAAATCACTGTGTAATATAACTACACGAGACACATACAACGATTGTAGTGAAAGACGGAGGATCCACACACACACACACACACACACACACACACACACACACCACACACACACACACACCCCACACACACACACACACACACACACACACACACACACACCACACACACACACACATACACATAACAACACACAACAAACAAACTAACACATAACAACACAACACAACACACAATCACACAACAACACACACAACACAAACACAACTACACACAACAACACTCACACCACTACATACTACACTACACACAGCACACACACACACTACACATGCACACACACCACACTCACACACACACCACCACATCCACCACACCAACACACACACAACACACACACACACATGAGAAAATATAATTAATATAATATATAATAATAATTAAAATATAAATTATGTTATTATTTTAATTATATTCATTATTACAAAGTAAGCTCTAAACCTAATTATTTACTTGAAGCTGCCTTGGAAGGAGCGAGGTGCATGGCTGTTGATGGAATTGGCTGTGGTGGCAGGGTGCTGGCTGCACCTACGGCAGTGCTGGTTGCTACAGACATGCAGTGTGGCACTTTCCTTCTCACCCGTGGACAGCTGTGGAACAGACAGTGTTCCTGGAGGTGGGAACAGGGAGGCATCATCCTGCAGACTTTTAAGGTTTGACACAAGGCTAGAGTTACAAAGTCTGACGTTATGGTATTGTGCTTTGCAGATTTGAGACGATGTTATGCTTCGTAAGTTTAAAGCAAAGTTATCGTTTGTAGGTTTTGCCTGGTAGGCAAAAGCTCTCGCTTCACAAACTGAGTGTCAGGGTTCGATCCCCGGCAAGGGTGAAAACATTTGGCACGTTTCCTTACACCGGTTGTCTATGTTCACCCATCAGTAAAATGGGTACCTGGGTGTTAGTCGATTGGTTATGGGTCGCATCCTGGGACAAAATTGACCTAATTTGCCCGAAATGCTCAGTATAACAAGGGGCTTTTTATACAGTAGTATGTCATTGATGTCAGTTATGGTCTGTATACCTTGTACATGTACTTGTAGAAATAAAGACATTATAATTATTATTATTGTTCGTAGGTTTGACGCAAAGTACCGAAGAAGCTTTAGGTTTGATGGGTTTGAAATTTGAATTTGAATTTGTCGCGTTTGATGCCTAACGACTGCAGGATAGTCATCAGTACTACCTATAGACGCTATCAAGACTTTTCCATTTCACTTATAAAATAAATATTCCTCCTCGTCTCTCTCTCTCTCTCTTAGACTGATACTCGCTCCTAGTGGGCGAAACGTCTCTTAAATAAAAGTAACCAGGTGTTCCGTGGCATTTCGTTCACTAACTTGTTGATACTCTAGACTTCTGGTCTAGTTCTACACTCTCGTCCCGAAGATGGTTCGTGAACGGCCGAAATCTAGTCCCAGTTTTACCTCCAATGAGCAAGTTATTTGTGAAACACTAAAAACTTTTAAAGCATACAAACTGGTATATAAACATTATTGCATACACATGGAACATAAACATTCAGGCTAGTTAACATTAGCAAGCAAACACTTACCAAAGCAGCTTTAAGTGAAAAGTTAGCAGCATTAGGTGAAAAGTTAGCAGCATTAGGTGACAAGTTAGCAGCATTAGGTGACAAGTTAGCAGCATTAGGTGACAAGTTAGCAGCATTAGGTGACAAGTTAGCAGCATTAGGTGACAAGTTAGCAGCATTAGGTGACAAGTTAGCAGCATTAGGTGACAAGTTAGCAGCATTAGGTGACAAGTTAGCAGCATTAGGTGACAAGCTAGCAGCATTAGGTAACAAGTTAGCAGCATTAGGTGACAAGCTAGCAGCATTAGGTAACAAGTTAGCAGCATTAGGTGACACGTTAGCAGCATTAGGTGACAAGCTAGCAACATTAGGTAACAAGTTAGCAGCATTAGGTGACAAGTTAGCAGCATTAGGTGACAAGCTAGCAGCATTAGGTGACAAGTTAGCAGCATTAGATAACAAGTTAGCAGCATTAGGTGGCAAGCTAGCAGCATTAGGTAACAAGTTAGCAGCATTAGGTGACAAGTTAGCAGCATTAGATGACAAGTTAGCAGCATTAGGTGACAAGTTAGCAGCATTAGGTGACAAGTTAGCAGCATTAGGTGACAAGTTAGCAGCATTAGGTGACAAAGTTAGCAGCATTAGGTGACAAGTTAGCAGCATTAGGTGACAAGTTAGCAGCATTAGGTGACAAGTTAGCAGCATTAGGTGACAAGTTAGCAGCATTAGGTGACAAGTTAGCAGCATTAGGTGACAAGTTAGCAGCATTAGGTGACAAGTTAGCAGCATTAGTGACAAGTTAGCAGCATTAGGTGACAAGTTAGCAGCATTAGGTGACAAGTTAGCAGCATTAGTGACAAGTTAGCAGCATTAGGTGACAAGTTAGCAGCATTAGGTGACAAGTTAGCAGCATTAAGTGACAAGTTAGCAGCATTAGGTGACAAGTTAGCAGCATTAGGTGACAAGTTAGCAGCATTAAGTGACAAGTTAGCAGCATTAGGTGACAAGTTAGCAGCATTAGGTGACAAGTTAGCAGCATTAGGTGACAAGTTAGCAGCATTAGGTGACAAGTTAGCAGCATTAGGTGACAAGTTAGCAGCATTAGGTGACAAGTTAGCAGCATTAAGTGACAAGTTAGCAGCATTAGGTGACAAGTTAGCAGCATTAGGTGACAAGTTAGCAGCATTAGGTGACAAGTTAGCAGCATTAGGTGACAAGTTAGCAGCATTAGGTGACAAGTTTAGCAGCATTAGGTGACAAGTTAGCAGCATTAGGTGACAAGTTAGCAGCATTAGTGACAAGTTTGCAGCATTAGGTGACAAGTTAGCAGCATTAAGTGACAAGTTAGCAGCATTAAGTGACAAGTTTGCAGCATTAGGTGACAAGTTAGCAGCATTAAGTGACAAGTTAGCAGCATTAGGTGACAAGTTAGCAGCATTCGGTGACAAGTTAGCAACATTAAGTGACAAGTTAGCAGCATTAGGTGACAAGTTAGCAGCATTAAGTGACAAGTTAGCAGCATTAGGTGACAAGTTAGCAGCATTAAGTGACAAGTTAGCAGCATTAGGTGACAAGTTAGCAGCATTAAGTGACAAGTTAGCAGCATTAGGTGACAAGTTAGCAGCATTAAGTGACAAGTTAGCAGCATTAGGTGACAAGTTAGCAGCATTAAGTGACAAGTTAGCAGCATTAGGTAGGATGAAGGGATAGAGTGAACAAGTGAAGAACAATGAAGAACAGTGAACAATGAACAAATGTGACGATAACAGTAGCTGAAACGATTCACTGATAACCACATCCGAGGAGGAATCTCTGGACTACGTTTCGCTCCGTCTTGGGCCGAAACGTCACAAGGGAACGAAAGAAGGAGGAAAATCATAAGACATGTTGGAACGAGTGAATAAAGAAGAGTTGGAAGATTGGTCGAGTGATGGTATTAATTAATAATAATAATAATAATAATAATAATAATTAATAATAATAATATAATAATAATAAAATAATAATAATAAAAATCAATAAAATATATTAAATAACACAATAATAATTTTATTATTAATATTAATAATAAATTTTATTATTCAATAGTAGAATAGTTGGTGTAGTTTAGTAGTAATAGTATTTTAGTTAGTAGTAGTGAGTAGTAGGTGCGGTAGTAACAGCAGTGTTGTAGTTGTAGTGGTAATAACAGTAACAGTGATAGTAGCACCTCGCGACTGCATTTTTTCCTGAACCTGCTGACCCATTTTTATATAACCTGGTGCATGGGTGCTGACCTCTCTCTCTCTCCTCTCTCTCTCTCTCTCTCCACGTGACCTGGTGTCGGGTCAGACGGCTGAGGTGAAGCTGTACAAGAAACTACTGGCTGGGTCAGAGGGTGTCTTCCCAGACTGCTTCGCTTCTCGCTACGACATCGCTCAGGGGAAGTTCGCAGGTGAGTCCTCTAACAAGTGCGCTGCCACTCTATTATACCTCTCTGATGGTGAAGCAATACTCACTAGTTTACTTATGACTCAATAGAGTTTCTAACCAAGATCTATGGTTTGTGTTACTGTGTGAGCCTTGTGAGTGCTTATTTTTGATAATAATAATAATAATAATAATAATAATAATAATAATAATAATAATAATAATAATAATAATAATAAATATAATAATAATAATATAATAATAATAATAATAATAATATAATATAATAATAAATAATAATAATAATAATATAATAAATAATAATAATAATAATAATAATAATATAATAATAAAATAAGTAATAATATATATATAATAATAATAAATGCTTGTGTTAAGTCTGTAATAAGGAACCGGAGATAAATAAGACACATGTACAACACCTGGGTATCTTTATTAAGGAAATGTTTCTCCGGTACAGCAATTTTCTTCAGTTTCATGTTCACGAATTCCACCGTGGCGAGAGTGGCAGTGGTGTGTCGTGACCAGTACGGCACCTAAGTGTTGTACATGCGTCTCCTTCATCAATTTGTCGGTATTATTATACCATTAGGATAAACACCATATACTTACCTGCCATGTGTCTTTGCCTTGGACAGTCTAATATATCTTATTCTCTCTTCTCTCGCCTCTAGTGAAGAGCTTATCTTTGCCTACTGCGTGTCCCTGGGTATTGTTTACATATGCCACGTGTGTGCAGGTCTGCCCAGAGTATTGTTTACATATATCACGTGTGTGCAGGTCTGCCCCCGAGTATTGTTTACATATACCACGTGTGTGCAGGTCTGCCCCCGAGTATTGTTTACATATACCACGTGTGTGCAGGTCTGCCCCGAGTATTGTTTACATACATATACCACGTGTGTGCAGGTCTGTGCGATGTGCTTGCCGGGGAGATGATGGTAGCCGAAAGCTACTCCGAGTCTGGTCGTTGCGAGTTCTTCAGTCCTCGTGAGAACATCGTCACTCACTCCTACACTATGATCATGAAGAAAGGATCGACTCTCACTAACCATCTCAACTTCTGGTGACCATTCTTCTCTTTTGTTCCCATATGCTCTTATTGTTTACCAACATCGGACATTACCAGCAACTGCCCAAGCTCGTGCTGTGTGTGACCCGTGTGAGATTATAATGATAATAATATGTCTAATACACATAAACACTATGATAATTCATGTGTTTCTACTCAACGTCAACTGTAGCTAACATTTCAAAGAGTCATTGTTGCTTGTATACGGTTATTAAAACTAGTATGTATGAACCTCCCCCATCAATGGGTGAAATGTAGCATAAAACATCCCCAGTTCTGGATGAAAAGCATAATACAGCCTTCATGTGGGTGAAACGTATTTTGTGATTAAGACTCACGTTGTTTAAAAGTGTCTTTAAGATACTAGCAAGACACAATAAGCAGTTTATATAATTTCACTGAGACGGCGTTTCGCCCACTGATTCAATAGAATAAAATAAACGACATATAGTATGTTACTAACATGCTTGTCGGTATATATCACCGTTGAAATGTATCTGACTTTGAAAATATAAACCCGAGGTTCATCCTCTTCTGAATCTAATATTTTGTAGGTTTTATTTTTAACGTACGTATTAATTAAGTATATAAAGGCACAATACCATGACTGGAACAGTATGCAAATAACCAGCACATAGGAGAGAGGAGTTTACGACGACGTTTTGTCGTTACGACAACCTCGTAACGACGACACGTTGTTGTAAACTACTGCCTCTCTTGTGTGAGGGTTATGTGCGTATTAAGCTCTTGATTTAATAACAAAAAAAGGCACAATACCGTGACTGGAACGATACACAAATAACCCGCACATAGAAGAGAGGAGCTTACGACTTTGTAAATGGTTCAAGTCGGACCCAAACGTCGTCGTAAGCTCCTCTCTTCTATGTGCGGGTTATTTGTGTAAGCTTTTCATTTGTTTTCTGATGGTCATTCCATCCACTAAAAACTTAAATTTATCTTGTAGGGCATTTTGAGGTGGAGACGAAGTAGAATACCTTGTAAGATAGGTTGTGGTGGACACTTAAGTAGGATATCTCGTAAGACAGGTTGAGTCAGCTGCAGGAGAGAGGTTGGGTGGAACAGCTGGTCAGGAGAAGTGTCAACAATGGCAGTATATGCAACCTTCCACCAGGCCAGGAGGATGGTCACCATCCACCTACACCTCTCACTATATACCAGATGTGGGGAGTCTTTGCCATACTGGTAGCAGGTGAGTGTTGATGTGGGGAGTCTTTGTCATACTGGTAGCAGGTGAGTGCTGATGTGGGGAGTCTTTGTCATACTGGTAGCAGGTGAGTGGTGATGTGGGGAGTCTTTGCCATACTGGTAGCAGGTGAGTGGTAAAGGTCGCTCACTGCTGTGACTGCTGCTGGAACTGGTCTGCTGATACTAACGAATACTGCAAGAAAAACACAGACTGATGCTGTTACTTCTTCTTTTCCTTCTTCTCCTGAGTATCAGTCTTCCATTGTTAATACCATGCGTATAGACATGATTTGTATGAATGATACATACCTTTGGAAACAAGTTGGGCAAATATATGAGAAGTAGGCCAGTAGGCCTATTGCAAGGCTCCTCCATACTTATGAACTGTTGTTGTGTAGGCTCAGCTACGTTGCAAAAGTCACTGTTGCTGAGTGATGATTCTCTCATCCTGCACTGGATGACCCACATAGGTTTAACGCTTAACATGAATTATTAACAATAAATACAAATCTGTTTGTGACTTGATGAAGTCTAGTGTTTATGGGCGAAACGTCGTCTACATTATAGTGTATTTGTGTTTCTCTTTCCATTGTCAATGTATTTGATACAATTTCTCTCCAATAGGGATTTAGGAAGTACAGGAGATGAATGTGATGCTCACTTGTTTGACCTGCACCATATACGTGAGTATATGTATATAAGAGTACATGTATATTAGAGTACCTGCATATATGAGTACCTGTATATAAGAGTACATAAGAGTACACGGGAAAGATGGATAGTAGAGAACTTTAAATTTTACACCGAGGATATCTACTGAGAGAAAACTCCCAACTTCTACCTAGATTAATGACTATCATGATCTATCTAGATACTGGAGGCAAGGATAGTGAAACAGAAGGCTTTCTACTTCTGCAGCACTTACCTCAGGAGCTATTTTGAAAAAGACTTACGATAGAGAGGATAAACCATACCACAGGCGGGGTTAGAACCCGGGACCAGAGAGTCATAAAACTCCAGACCGACGCGTTAGCCACTGGACCAGCTAGCCACAATAAGAGTCATTCAACTAGGTATATTTATATACCATAGGAAGGTTAGCATAGGCACCACTGTGACCACAAATACAAGTTTTTCCAGACGAATATCTAACTAGCGTGGCCGTGACGAACTCTAGCTCAAGTCCCCTCAAAGCCGTCAACATGACTCACGAAATCGCAATGGCACGATTGCAAACAAACCAAACCACGAGTGACAAAGAGGATAAGTTAACAATGCACCTATTGTTGCAGCTATGTGGAACAGATGTTAAGTTGTTGATAACTGTAAAAATGAGGAGGCCTAGGAGAAAAAGAAAATGAGAAAAAATTCCAGTAAAAGTAGGCCTAAAATAATGATGTGGCTGAGTATATTGTTTATGTTTGTAGTTGTGGAAGAAAATGCAATATGTGGGACTGCAAATGTAAAAAAAAATATCACATTGAATAGATAAATAGAAAACCTGAGCGCTTTCGTGTGCTGACACACATCTTCATGTGTGTGTCAGCATGTAAAACTGCTTAGGTTTTTCTAGGATTTTTTCCAATGTATTTTTTGTATGTGGTTGAAAACGAGGTGAATCTTACTGAAAGTTGTGGTTTTAAATAAGAATGAATTTGGTATATACTGCGAATGTCAGTGTTGTTGTCTGGTGAGTGAGTCACATGTGCTTCACCTAAGTATCTTTATTAGGTACTTTTATGAGATAACGTTTATTAGGTACCTATATCTCAAAAATGAAGATACCAAAGTGTTACAGAAGAGTCTTATTTACCAAATTGTTGATACTGCATATCATATATTATGACAGTTCCTGTTTGCTGATGACACAGTACGTTTGACATATTCCGAGGGGAAACTGAAAAAAATTATGAATATGTTCGGAAAGATATGTTTAAGAAGGAAGTTACAACTAACTACAGAGAAAAGCAAGTTGATGAGAGTAAGTAGAAGACTAGGTAATGTCGTTTTGATCGTCAGTGTGAATGAAAGACCTATAGAGGCAGAGAATGCCTTAAGATATCTGGGAGTAGATGGATCAAGTGAAGCATGGAAAGAATGTATGAGATGCTGCCTTATATTTCTTGTGCATAGATATTTAAATCGTTCTGTTTTGCAGGTGTTGGAGTTGCTGGACTGACCTTCCTAGTGGAACTCATCATCACACTGACTTCTAAATAATACACACTTGCAAATATTCCTCTTCTGTTGTGCCGAGAGAACACTATGGCTGGCCAAGACTCGCTATCAAGTGATTGTTTGGCTGGCCAAGACTCGCTATCAGATGATTGTTTGGCTGGCCAAGACTCGCTGTCAGATGATTGTTTGGCTGGCCAAGACTCGCTATCAAGTAATTGTATGACTGACCAAGACTCATTATAAAGGTACTGTCGACTCATGATTCCTTCCAGTCAATAAGCTGCAGGTATAATCTAAATCCAGTGTTGATCATTTACCAAGTGTACTAATTTTATTCACAGTCTACACTGATTGTTCAGCATTATTATTATGTGCAACAAAGAGAATTGAAAACTGGTTTCAGAAACCTTAGTATTAATCATATTACCTCAGGTATTACCACCTCAAATATTATATTAATCCATAAATACTCAACACTCTTATATGGCGAATTTTCGTTTTCGTAAATACAATCGTAAAAAAAAAGGCATCAGAAATCGAGTAACACTTAAAATGGCCTCCATAATACAAACTATTAAACTCTGTATTAACCTTTTCAAGTGCATTTAAAAATATATCACTCTTCATAGAGGAGCCATATAAAAGAATTTACTGTAACGTGAAAACACATCGATCATTTTATCAGATTAACATAATTTAAAAAAAAAATAATAAATAGATTGAAAAAAATAATCAAAAATAATTTTTTTTACGCTTTCAAATCTGTGAGGACGTCAAGTCTTCGTGCTGGTGAAGGTCTCTTGTTCCAGGGAAACGGAGTTGCCTTCCTCTTTCTCGAATCAAACTTGTTTCCCTTTCCATTCCCCAGGTGCTGTTGGGCCCTTACGGATATTGCGCTTCCTAATATAATTAATAATAATGATGATATTAATAAAAATAAGGATAATAATGATAATAATAATAACGACAACGACAATAATAATAATAACAATAATAATAATAATAATAATAATAATAATAATAATAATAATAATAATAATAATAATAATAATAATAATAAAATAAAATAAAATAATAATAAAATAAAATAATTAATAATAAGAATAATAATAATTATAATAATATTAATAATAAAAATAATAAGAATAATAATAATATAATAATAATAATAATAATAACAATAATAATAATAATAATAATAATAATAATAATAATAATAATAATAATAATAATAATAATAATAATAATAATAATAATAATAATAGTGTTCTAGGAGGTTAAATGGTGTGTTGTTTATAGCCTTTACATCCGCATCTCCGTGCATGTGTTGTGTCACATTGTGCATGTGTTGTGTCACATTGTGCATGTGTTGTGTCACATTGTGCATGTGTTGTGTCACATTGTGCATGTGTTGTGTCACATTGTGCATGTGTTGTGTCACATTGTGCATGTGTTGTGTCACATTGTGCATGCGTTGAGTCACACTTCACATGTGTTGGGTCACACTGTGCATGTGTTGGGTCACATTGTGCATGTGTTGTGTCACATTGTGCATGTGTTGTGTCACATTGTGCATGTGTTGTGTCACATTGTGCATGTGTTGTGTCACATTGGGCATGTGTTGTGTCACATTGTGCGTGTGTTGTGTCACATTGTGCATGTGTTGTGTCACATTGTGCATGTGTTGTGTCACATTGTGCATGTGTTGTGTCACATTGTGCATGCGTTGAGTCACACTTCACATGTGTTGGGTCACACTGTGCATGTGTTGGGTCACATTGTGCACGTGTTGGGTCACACTGCATGTGTTGGGTCGCATTGTGCACGTGTTGGGTCACACTGCGCATGTGTTGGGTCACATTGTGCACGTGTTGGGTCACACTGTGCATGTGTTGGGTCGCATTGTGCATGTGTTGGGTCACACTGCGCATGTGTTATATTACATCTCTGTGCCTGTGCTGGGTCACATTGTGCATGTGTTGGGTCGCATTGTGCACGTGTTGGGTCACACTGCGCATGTGTTATATTACATCTCTGTGCCTGTGCTGGGTCACATTGTGCATGTGTTGGTCACATTGTGAATGTGTTTGGTCACATGTCCGTGCACGTGTTGGGTCACATCTCCGTGCACGTGTTGGGTCACATCTCCGTGCATGTAGTGGGTCGCATCTTTCTCCGTGCATCTGATTGCTCGCAAACTTTACGTGCATAACGTGAGTCACACCATATACGTGCATGTAGCGGGGTCGTGCATTACGTGCGTGGCGTCTTGTGGTTCCTCATACCATTTACGTGCACATTGCGGTTTCGTATTTTTTCGTGCACGCTATGGACTATTTCGTGCACGCTATGGACTATTTCGTGCACACTATTGACTCTGTTTCTTGCACACAATATACTCTATTTCGTGCGCACTATGGACTCTGTTTCGTGTACACTATGGACTATATTAGTGCACACAATGGACTCTATTTCGTGCACATTATGGACTTTGTTTTGTGCACGCAATGAACTCTGTTTCTTGCACACTATGGACTCTATTTAGTACACACACTGTACTTTATTTCGTGCACACTATGGACTCTGTATCTTGCACACTTTGAACTCTGTTTCGTGCACACTATGGACTCTGTTTCGTGTACACTATGGACTCTGTTTCGTGCACACAATGTACTCTATTTCGTGCACACTTTGACCTCTGTTTCGTACACACTATGGACTCTAATTCGTGCCCTCTATGATAATTAGGAAGGTGTATTGGTGTTCATAGTAGACCGAGGGCCACTGTGGTCTTCGGGTCTTCAGATACTCATCGTGTAGTCTTGAAAAAGTTGTCGGGTATCCTTTAGGAGGTTCTAAAACTGCCAGGTAGTTCTTAGATGGTCTTTAGATGGTCTTCAAGACTGTCTTCAAGGCTGTCGTCAAGTGGCCCTCAGGTGGTCCTCAGGTGGTCCTCAGGTGGTCTTCAGGTGATCCTCAGGCGATCCTCAGGTGGTCTTCAGGTGGTCCTCAGATGATCCTCAGGTGGTCCTCAGATGGTCCTCAGGTGGTCTTTAGGTGGTCCTTAGATGGTCCTCAGATGGTCCTCAGGTGGTCTTTAGGTGGTCCTTAGATGGTCTTCAGGTGGTCCTCAGGTGGTTTTCAGGTGGTCCTCAGGTGGTCCTCAGGTGGTCCTCAGATGGTCCTCAGGTGGTCCTCCAGAGGGTCCTCAGGTGGTCCTCAGATGGTCCTCAGATGGTCCTCAGATGGTCCTCAGGTGGTCCTCAGGTGGTCCTCAGGTGGTCCTCAGGTGGTCCTCAGGTGGTCCTCCAGGTGGTCCTCAGGTGGTCCTCAGATGGTCCTAGATATCCATGCGGCAGATGAATCTGCAAAAAAAAGAAACAGATTTAAATTTCCTTCATCTTGGCTGAGAACAACTGGCTGCTGACAGTAGCTGACTGCTGACAGTAGCTGGCTTGCTGACAGTAGCTGTACTGTGACAGTATGGCTGCTGACAGTACTGACTCTGACAGTAGCTGCTGCTAAGTAGTGCTGCTGACATAGCTACTGCTGACAGTAGCTGGCTGCTGACAGTAGCTGACTGCTGACAGTAGCTGGCTGCTGACAGTAGCTGACTGCTGACAGTAGCTGACTGCTGACAGTAGCTGACTGCTGCAGAGGCTGCTGACAGTAGTGCTGCTGACAGTAGCTGGCTGCCTGCAGTAGTGACTGCTGACAGTACTGGCTGCTGACAGAGCTGCTGCTACAGTAGCTGGCTGCTGAAGTAGCTGACTAGTGACAGTAGCTGGCTGCTGACAGTAGCTGACTGCTGACAGTAGCTGGCTGCTGACAGTAGCTGACTGCTGACATAGCTGATGCTGACAGTAGCTGGCTGCTGACAGTAGCTGACTGCTGACAGTAGCTGACTGCTGACAGAGTGGCTGCTGACAGTAGCTGACTGCTGACAGTAGCTGGCTGCTGACAGTAGCTGCACTGCTGAAGTAGCTGGCTGCTGACAGTAGCTGACTGCTGACAGTAGCTGACTGCTGACAGTAGCTGGCTGCTGACAGTAGCTGACTGCTGACAGTAGCTGGCTGCTGACAGTAGCTGACTGCTGACAGTAGCTGGCTGCTGACAGTAGCTGACTGCTGACAGTAGCTGGCTGCTGACAGTAGCTGACTGCTGACAGTAGCTGCTGCTGACAGTAGCTGACTGCTGACAGTAGCTACTGCTGACAGTACTGGCTGCTGACAGTAGCTGACTGCTGACAGTAGCTGCTGCTGACAGTAGCTGACTGCTGACAGTAGCTATCTGCTGATAGTAGCTGACTGCTGACAGTAGCTGACTGCTGACAGTAGCTGGCTGCTGACAGTAGCTGACTGCTGACAGTAGCTGCTGCTGACAGTAGCTGACTGCTGACAGTAGCTGGCTGCTGACAGTAGCTGACTGCTGACAGTAGCTGACTGCTGACAGTAGCTGGCTGCTGACAGTAGCTGACTGCTGACAGTAGCTGGCTGCTGACAGTAGCTGACTGCTGACAGTAGCTGGCTGCTGACAGTAGCTGACTGCTGACAGTAGCTGGCTGCTGACAGTAGCTGACTGCTGACAGTAGCTGGCTGCTGACAGTAGCTGACTGCCGACAGTAGCTGGCTGCTGACAGTAGCTGACTGCTGACAGTAGCTGGCTGCTGACAGTAGCTGACTGCTGACAGTAGCTGACTGCTGACAGTAGCTGGCTGCTGACAGTAGCTGACTGCTGACAGTAGCTGGCTGCTGACAGTAGCTGACTGCTGACAGTAGCTGCTGCTGACAGTAGCTGACTGCTGACAGTAGATGGCTGCTGACAGTAGCTGACTGCTGACAGTAGCTGGCTGCTGACAGTAGCTGACTGCTGACAGTAGCTGGCTGCTGACAGTAGCTGACTGCTGACAGTAGCTGACTGCTGACAGTAGCTGCTGCTGACAGTAGCTGACTGCTGACAGTAGCTGGCTGCTGACAGTATCTGACTGCTGACAGTAGCTGGCTGCTGACAGTAGCTGACTGCTGACAGTAGCTGGCTGCTGACAGTAGCTGACTGCTGACAGTAGCTGGCTGCTGACAGTAGCTGACTGCTGACAGTAGCTGGCTGCTGACAGTAGCTGACTGCTGACAGTAGCTGGCTGCTGACAGTAGCTGACTGCTGACAGTAGCTGGCTGCTGACAGTAGCTGACTGCTGACAGTAGCTGGCTGCTGACAGTAGCTGACTGCTGACAGTAGCTGGCTGCTGACAGTAGCTGACTGCTGACAGTAGCTGGCTGCTGACAGTAGCTGACTGCTGACAGTAGCTGGCTGCTGACAGTAGCTGGCTGCTGACAGTAGCTGACTGCTGACAGTAGCTGACTGCTGACAGTAGCTGACTGCTGACAGTAGATGACTGCTGATAGTAGCTGACTGCTGACAGTAGCTGACTGCTGACAGTAGCTGGCTTCTGACAGTAGCTGACTGCTGACAGTAGCTGGCTGCTGACAGTAGCTGACTGCTGACAGTAGCTGGCTGCTGACAGTAGCTGACTGCTGACAGTAGCTGGCTGCTGACAGTAGCTGGCTGCTGACAGTAGCTGGCTGCTGACAGTAGCTGACTGCTGACAGTAGCTGACTGCTGACAGTAGCTGACTGCTGACAGTAGCTGGCTGCTGACAGTAGATGACTGCTGATAGTAGCTGACTGCTGACAGTAGCTGACTGCTGACAGTAGCTGGCTGCTGACAGTAGCTGACTGCTGACAGTAGCTGGCTGCTGACAGTAGCTGACTGCTGACAGTAGCTGACTGCTGACAGTAGCTGACTGCTGACAGTAGCTGGCTGCTGACAGTAGATGACTGCTGATAGTAGCTGACTGCTGACAGTAGCTGACTGCTGACAGTAGCTGACTGCTGACAGTAGCTGACTGCTGACAGTAGCTGACTGCTGACAGTAGCTGGCTGCTGACAGTAGATGACTGCTGATAGTAGCTGACTGCTGATAGTAGCTGACTGCTGATAGTAGCTGACTGCTGATAGTAGCTGACTGCTGATAGCAGCTGACTGCTGACAGTAGCTGACTGCTGACAGTAACTGACTGCTGACAGTAGATGACTGCTGATAGTAGCTGACTGCTGACAGTAGCTGACTGCCGACAGTAGATGACTGCTGATAGTAGCTGACTGCTGATAGTAGCTGACTGCTGATAGTAGCTGACTGCTGATAGTAGCTGACTGCTGATAGTAGCTGACTGCTGACAGTAGCTGACTGCTGACAGTAGCTGACTGCTGACAGTAGATGACTGCTGATAGTAGCTGACTGCTGAGAGTAGCTGACTGCTGATAGTGGCTGACTGCTGAGAGTAGCTAACTGCTGATAGTAGCTGACTGCTGATAGTAGCTGACTGCTGATAGTAGCTGACTGCTGAGAGTAGCTGACTGCTGACAGTAGCTGACTGCTGAGAGTAGCTAACTGCTGACAGTAGCTGACTGCTGATAGTAGCTGACTGCTGACAGTAGCTGACTGTAGACAGTAGCTGACTGCTGAGAGTAGCTGACTGCTGATAGTAGCTGACTACTGATAGTAGCTGACTGATGAAAGCAGCTGACTGCTGATAGTAGCTGATTGCTGATAGTAGCTGACTGCTGACAGTAGCTGACTGATGAAAGCAGCTGACTGCTGATAGTAGCTGATTGCTGATAGTAGCTGACTGCTGACAGTAGCTGACTGTTGACAGTAGCTGACTGCTGACAGTAGCTGACTGCTGAGAGTAGCTAACTGCTGACAGTAGCTGACTGCTGATAGTAGCTGACTGCTGACAGTAGCTGACTGTTGACAGTAGCTGACTGCTGACAGTAGCTGACTGCTGATAATAGCTGACTGCTGAGAGTAGCTGACTTCTGATAGTAGCTGACTGCTGATAGTAGCTGACTGCTGACAGTAGCTGACTGCTGATAGTAGCTGACTGCTGATAGTAGATGACTGCTGACAGTAGCTGACTGATGATAGTAGCTGACTGATGATAGTAGCTGACTGATGATAGTAGCTGACTGATGATAGGACCTGACCGCTTACAGTAACCTAACCTAACCTAACCTTACCTGACCTAACCTAACATAACCACTGAAACACCCTAGAGAGGGTGTTTCAGTGGTGTTTCGCTAGAGAGGGTGCTTCACTGGTGTTTCACTAGAGAGGGTGTTTCAGTGGTGTTTCACTAGAGAGTTTCATTGGTGTTTCACTAGAGAGGGTGCTTCACTGGTGTTTCACTAGAGAGGGTGTTTCAGTGGTGTTTCTCTAGAGAGGGTGTTTCAGTGGTGTTTTACTGGAGAGGGTGTTTCAGTGGTGTTTCACTAGAGAGGATGCTTCACTGGTGTTTCACTAGAGAGGGTGTTTTAGTGGTGTTTCACTAGAGAGGGTGTTTCATTGGTGTTTCACTAGAGAGGGAGGTTCATTGGTGTTTCACTAGAGAGGGTGTTTCAGTGGTGTTTCACTAGAGAGGGTGTTTCATTGGTGTTTCACTAGAGAGGGTGCTTTACTGGTGTTTCACTAGAGAGGGTGTTTCAGTGGTGTTTCACTAGAGAGAGTGTTTCATTGGTGTTTCACTAGAGAGGGTGCTTCACTGGTGTTTCACTAGAGTGGGTGTTTCAGTGGTGTTTCACTAGAGAGAGTGTTTCAGTGGTGTTTCGCTAGAGAGGGTGTTTCAGTGGTGTTTCACTAGAGAGTTTCATTGGTGTTTCACTAGAGAGGATGCTTCACTGGTGTTTCACTAGAGAGGGTGTTTTAGTGGTGTTTCACTAGAGAGGGTGTTTCATTGGTGTTTCACTAGAGAGGGTGTTTCATTGGTGTTTCACTAGAGAGGGTGTTTCAGTGGTGTTTCACTAGAGAGGGTGTTTCATTGGTGTTTCACTAGAGAGGGTGCTTCACTGGTGTTTCACTAGAGAGGGTGTTTCAGTGGTGTTTCACTAGAGAGAGTGTTTCATTGGTGTTTCACTAGAGAGGGTGCTTCACTGGTGTTTCACTAGAGAGGGTGTTTCAGTGGTGTTTCACTAGAGAGGGTGTTTCAGTGGTGTTTCACTAGAGAGGGTGTTTCAGTGGTGTTTCACTAGAGAGGGTGCTTCACTGGTGTTTCACTAGAGAGGATGTTTTAGTGGTGTTTCACTAGAGAGGGTGTTTCAGTGGTGTTTCACTATAGAGGGTGTTTCATTGGTGTTTCACTAGAGAGGGTGTTTCAGTGGTGTTTCACTAGAGAGGGTGTTTCATTGGTGTTTCACTAGAGAGGGTGCTTCACTGGTGTTTCACTAGAGAGGGTGTTTTAGTGGTGTTTCACTAGAGAGGGTGTTTCACTAGAGAGTGTGTTTCACTGGTGTTTCACCAGAGAAGGTGTTTCAGTAGTGTTTCACTAGAGAGGCTGTTTCACTGGTGTTTCACCAGAGAAGGTGTTTCAGTAGTGTTTCACTAGAGAGGGTGTTTCAGTGGTGTTTCAGTAGAGAGGGTGTTTCATTGGTGTTTCACTAGAGAGGGTGTTTCACTGGTATTTCACTAGAGAGGGTGTTTCACTAGAGAGGGTGTTTCACTAGAGAGGGTGTTTCACTGGTGTTTCACTAGAGAAGGTGTTTCAGTAGTGTTTCACTGGTACATGTATACAACAGTGAGGTTAAGTGCTGGACACTTACTGTCTCTCATCAAAGCAGTACTCGTCACTCCACTTATAGCCATAGTCCTTCCTGATGGCTACGCAGCGCTCCTCTCTACCTGACCCGTTCCGGTTTGGCTCTCCGACGAAGTAACTGTTAAGTGAATGTAAGTCACAATACCATGACTGGAACAATTCATCTCTAAGTCACAATACCGTGGCTGGAAAAAATTATTATTTTTTTTTGTTAACACATCGGCCGTTTCCCACCGAGGCAGGGTGACCTGAAAAAGAAGAAACACTTTCATCATCATTCACTTCATCACTGTCTTGCCAGAGGTGTGCCTACACTACTGTTAAAGAACTGCAACATATCAATACTCCTCCTTCAGAGAGCAGGCACTGTACCTCCCACCTTCAGGACTCAAGTCCGGCTAACCGGTTTCCCTGAATCTTTTCATAAATGTTGCCTTTCTTACACTCCAACTGCACATCATCAAGTCATAAAAACATTCGCCTTCACTCCCTCCTATCTAACACTCTCACGCATGCTTGCTGGAAGTCTAAGCCCCTCGCACACAAAACCTTCTTTACCCCCCTCCCTCCAACCTTCTCTAGGATGACCCCTACCCCGCCTTCCTTCCACTACAGATTTGTATGACCTCTAAGTCATTCTATTTCATTCCATCCTTTTTAAATGTCCGAAGCACATCAACATCCCACCCTCAGCCGTCTGGATAATACTTTTAGTAACCCCGCATCTCCTTCTAATTTCCAAGCTACGAATTCTCTATATTCACACCACACATTGCCCTCAGACACGACATCTCCACTGCCTTCAGCCTTCTCCTTGTTGCAACATTCACCACCCATACTTCACATAAAAAATAAGAGCATTGGTACCAATATACTTCTATGCATTTCCCTATTTGGTTCCATGGATAACGTTCTTTGTCTCCATGGATTCCTTAGTGCTCTATTCACCTCCACGCCACTTCCCCTAATCCGTTGTATGATTCACCTCGTCTTTCATAGATCCATCTGCTGACAAGTCCATTCCCAGGTATCTGAATACATTCACCTCCTCCATACTCTCTCCCTCCAATCTGATATCCAATTTTTTCATTGCCTAAATTTTTTGTTATCATATGTTCACTTTTAATTTCCTTTTTGTACATACTCTTCCAAACTCGTTCACCAACCTCTACAACTTCTCTTCAGAATCTCCCAAAAACACAGTGTCATCAGCAAAGAGCAACTGTGACAACTCCCACTTTATGTGTGATTCTTTATCTTTTAACCTCACACCTCTTGCCAACACCCGAACATTCACTTCTCTTACAACCCCATCTATAAATATGTTGAACAACCATAGTGACATCACACATCCTTGTCTCAGGCCTACTTTTACTGGATAATAATCTCCCTCTCACCTACATACTGTAACCTGAGCTTCACTGTCCTCGTAAAAATCTTAACTGCTTTCAGTAACCTTCCATACACTTGCAACATCTGTCACATTGCTTCCTATCCCTCGTATTACTTCTGCTTTGTAGAAAGCTCTCATATACTAACTTTTTTGTTACAACTCTCTTTACATCATCATTCTACCAATCGCTCTTCTTCCCTCCGGCACCCACTTTCCTGTAACCACAAACTTCTGCTGAACACTCTAACACTACATTATTAAATCCCATACTTCTTCAACCTTATTGCCTATACTCTCACTAACCCATCTATCCTCCAATAGTTGTTTATATTTTACCCTAACTGCCACTTCTTTCAGTTTATTAACCTTGACCTCCCTCTTACTTGCTGATGCCTTTCTCCTTGTATCCATCTACCTTTTACTCTCACTGTAGCTACAACTAAAAAGTGATCTGATATATCTGTGGCCCCTCGATAAACATACCCATTTGAAGTCTACCCATCTGTCTTTTATCTACCAATACATAGTCCAGCAAACTACTGTCATTATGCCCTATATCATATCTTATATACTTATTTATCCTTTTCTTCTTAAAAAATGTATTACCTATAACCAAACCCCTTTCTGTATAAAGTTCAATCAAAGTTTTCCCAACATCATTCACACCTGGTACCCAAAACCGTTTCTCTACAACCGTCCCTCCCACTTTAGCATTCATGGAACAATTCTCAACTAGATATACAGACATAGTTCTAACAGTATACACACAATAAGCCTCTAATGGGACATTTCTTTCTGTGTAGAGCTTCGTCAAATCATGGTTTGTTAAAGCTCTACACAGAGCGAAACGTTGTCACCACTAAATCTTATTTTTATCACATTGAATCATATTAAAAGTGACCAACTAATCCAAAACTTAGAAAGGAAACCACAGACGACATTTCGGTCTTTCTTAAGCCATTATCAAATCACTAAATATCTAATAAGTAAGAAAACAAATCTAGTAGCCCTCATTGCAAATGTTTTAGAGTTTGATTAGAAAAACTGGGAATATTATACATGTTGCATGAGTAAGTTGACTTGTAGACAATGACACAGATGATTAGTGCTGTGTGTTTCGCCTTTATACTGTTACCCTCATCAGGAAACCGAAGGTTGTCTCAGAGTGAGGTTAAAATATGCAGAAGTATGTGATGATCAAGTCTTAGCGTTTGTACTGTTGTTTATTGATCATGTACTAAATTTATTGATCATGTTCTGCATTTATTGATCAAGTACTGTGTTTATTGATCATGTAGTACTGGTAGTATTGATCATGTAGTACTGGTGAGTACTGACACGTAACACTAACTTGGTATACGTTACAGGTTCCTGGTCAGCCCAGACAAAGCTTCCCTCGACATTCAGATCGTTCAGTCCAATCCACACTGACTCAATGTCCAGGGCTACGAATATTCCTGTGAGAGAGATGATAGCAAATTATGCACCTTGGTTGTTTGTGTTAAATTGTGTGGTTGCACACACACACACACACACACACACACACACACACACACACACACACACACACACACACACACACACACACACACACACACACACACACACACATAAGAACATAAGAACATAAGAAAGGAGGAACACTGCAGCAGGCCTGTTGGCCCATACTAGGCAGGTCCTTTACAATTCATCCCACTAACAAAACATTTGCCCAACCCAATTTTCAATGCCACCCAAGAAACAAGCTCCGATGTGCAAGTACCACTCAAATCCAACCCCTCCCACTCATGTACTTATCCAACCTAAATTTGAAACTAGTGGTGACGTGTACTTAGCAGTGGTGACGTGTACTTAGCAGTGGTGACGTGTACTTAGTCAGTGGTGACGTGTACTTAGTCAGTGGTGACGTGTACTTAGCTCTGTGAAGACCTGTTTGTGTGCTCTCTGTGAATCTGAACCAGGATGCCCTCTCTTGAGCAGCTTTACCAGCAGCTGAGAGAAGAGCTCAGAGTTGCTAAACTGGAGATACGGCGATTAACTGAGGAGAACAAGAGGATTCGTAGTAATCCACCTGTTGTGAGTCCCCAGGTTAAGAAGGGAGCTTGGTCAGTGGTCGGGCAACATGGAACCAAGCTGAAGATTAAGAAAACGGTTGGAGAGGCAGAAACACGAAAACCGGAAGACTGCCGTGGAAACTTCCAACTCATTCTCGGTGCTACCTGACGAATGTGAGTGTTCTACTGGGAATGCCACAACGAGCACCAAAGAAGCATTGGCAGACGTGAGTGAGACATCCCTAGAAACCCCAACGAAGACCATCGAGAACGTCATGACGAATTCTACAAGTGGTGTAATGCTACCTGGCGAATGTAAGTCGACTACTCGGAGCTTCACTACGGACGACGCCAAGGAAGGTAAAAACATTGTTGTTGTTGGGGATAGCCAGATTAGGTACATGGATAGGGCATTCTGTTTGAAGGATAGGAGTAGGAGGCAGAGAGTATGTTTTCCTGGGGCTGGGATGAAGGATATTGTTAGCCGTCTGGATGACATCATGAGAGGTAATGGGAGCAATCCTATTATCTGTCTCAGTGCTGGAGGCAACGATGTTGGCAGACGTAGGAGTGAGGACCTGATTAGCAGGTATAGGTCAGCAATAGAGATAATTAGGAAGAAGGGTGGCAAACCTGTCATATGTGGCATTTTGCCAAGGAGAGGAGTTGGAAATGAATGGTTGTCCAGAGCAATTGGTGTCAATTGCTGGCTGGACAAATACTGTAAGGAAAATGCGGTAACATTCATTGACAACTGGACCTCTTCTATGGCAGAAATAACATGTATGCCAGGGATGGGGTTCACTTGTCTAGGTGTGGGGTGGGAGCACTGGCCAACGCAGTGGAGGGAGCTGTTAGGTCGTTAAACTAGGAATAGTTAGTGTATGGGTTTTTTGGGGGGAAAACTGTGAAGTCGCAGGTAGTAACATGAGTACTAGGAGAACTAGTAATAGGCAAAATGAGAGGATATTGGAAAGCCAGTGGCACTAATTGACAATGACAGTAATAGGTTAGTGGAATAACAGAAAGGAGCAGGAAGGGTAAAGAGATAGGAGGGTCATTAAATATTTATTACACAAATAGTCGCAGTGCTAGGAATAAATGGACGAGTTGAGACTAGTTGCTAGTGCAGGTAACATAGATGTATTTGCCTTTACTGAGACGGGGTTTAATTCAAAAAGTCGGGACATGCCTGCAAAATTCACTTCGGGGGTTTTAAATTGTTCCAAGAGATAAGTTCGGGAAGGGGGGGTGGGGGGCATTGTAATGTCCGAACGCTTGAACTGTTGCATAAAAACAGGTATTAAGTTGAAGAAACACATACAGAGTCTGTTTGGATAGAATTTTCAGGGGGCATGAAAAATTAAATTTTTAGGGTGATATCCGTCCCCCCCAAATTTAATAGGGCCAGGGGACTACTATGGGAGGAAATTGTTGGGGCCAAAAGGCACGATAATGTAAATTCTGGGAGACTTTAATTTTTATCATATTGGTTGGGAATTTTTTAACGGGAATTTAAATCATACGATTTTTTAGAATAGTTCAGGATTTTTTTTTTGAAGCAGTTTGTGACAGAACCTACAAGGGGTAAAAACCTGCTTGACTTAGTTCGGCAAACAATGAATCCCTTGTTAATAATTTAGAAGTTTCAGAGGAACGGGGTGCCAGCACCACAAATAAAATTACTTTTAGAATTGAATGGAAGATGAAGTGGGATAACTCGTAACAGTCCCAATTTTCCCCCTAGCAGTTTACGAGGGGGTTTAGAAAACACTTATCATCTTTTGACGGGGGTAACGAAGAAGCTAAAATAGACGTTTTCTGAACACAATACAGCTGCTAAAAGAAGTTTTTTTTTTCCCTTATAAGGAAAATTAACAAATAGAAAGACCCAAAATGATGAATAATGGGCTAAAATATCTACGGGGGCAAAAAAGGGAATTTTGGGCGTACAAAAGAGGCGGGGTCATCTTATAATCAGAATATGACATAAGGGGGACTTTAAAAAAGGGATAAAAAAAGCAAAAAGGGACTAAAAAATTAAAGTTGCTAGGGATTCTAAAACTAACCCAAAAAGTTTTTTCCCGGGTCTATAGAACAAAAGTTAGAGATAAAAAGGCCCCCTTTAAAAATAACTATGGCACTTACGACAAAGGAATGAAAATTGCTCGATTTTAAATAATTATTTTCTCCGGTTTTTACTCAGGAAGACACAAATAATACCCGGGAAATTTTAATTTTAAGTAAAATCAGAAAAGAAAAATTATTAACATCACAGTCCTAGTGAAATGGTTGTGAAAAATAGACGACGAAGCAAAAAAAGTCACCGGGGGTCCTGAGGGGTTTTTTTAAAGGGGTTCAAAAGGGAAATCAAAATGGAAGTTGTGAACCTTTAAACTAATATTTTAATTTTATCTCTTCAAACGGTGAAATTTCCCTGATTTTGGGGGAAGATGCTAAAAAATTCCTATTTTTAAAACGGGGGACAAGTCGTTACCGTCAAATTACGCCCAATAAGCCTGACCAAAATTGTAGGCAAATTCTAGAGTAAATTTAAGCAAATATTAAAACCCATCTCGATAAGCATAGCTTGTTTAAATGATACTCACATGGATTCACAAAAGGCCGGTCTTTTCTAACTAATTTTTAACTTTTCTTCGTAAAGCTTTTTTAGCGTGACCACAAAAGAAATTTTATATTATTTACTTAATTTTAGTACGGCAGGGTTTCCGCACCAAAGACTGTTTAAGAAAGTAGCAGCTCATGCATTGGGGGAAGGGGGCCTCGGGATCGAATCATGGGGTCCAGACAGAAGCAAAGATGTCCATAAATGGGGTTTTTAAATCCGAGTGGGGAACAGTAACAAGTGGCGTTCCCAGGGACAGTCTTGGGCCCGTTTTGTTTATAATAATACAAAGATCTTGAAAGGGAAATTTCTAGAATGGCAAATTTGCCGAGACACAAGATAGGTAGGATAATTTTTCAAACGTAGATGTTAGGGAACTTCAGGAGGATTTAGCAAAAATCACTCTTGCAGAAAAGTGGCAATGCATTCAATTAGAAAAATCAAGGGCGAAGCTCGGGGGTTCCATAACCCAGCACTTTTTAATAAATAATGTAAACTTAAAAATACAGATTGCGAAAAAGGACTTGGGGGTTATGGTAAGCCAACCTTAAACCCAAAACAGCAAAGCCTAAGCTACGTAATAAAGGGAAATAGATACTGGGATTTTTTCAAGAAGTGTAAGCAACAGAATCCCCGAGCATACTGCAGTTTTAACATCATTAGAAAAGGGCCTCACCAGATTATGCATTCAAATTTTGGTCCCATTTCAGAATGGACAAAATTCGTTTGAAAACATTCAGCTAGGATGACAAAAATTTAATACATAGCATTTGAAATCTTCCCTTTTAAGAAAGAATTTTAAGCCTTAATTACATCACTTTTAGACGAAGAATGAGGGGGGCCTGACGAAGTTATAAGTGGAAGATATATTAATAAAGGGGGTATTAACAAGGCTTAGAATATCTCTCCAAGAAGCCCCTTAATGGATTTAAAAAAGAAAGTTTTGATTTTGAAAGGACTAGGAAAGTATTGGTTTGGAAATAGGGTGTGATGAGTGGAACATCTACCTATTTTGGGTTTTTTGAGGGTAGACTTTGGGGAGTTTCAAAAATTTTGTTGGATAAATACATATTGGGGTGGGGGTTGGGTTTGATGGGACTTGCACATCAAGCTTATTTTTTGGGTAGCATTGAAAATTGGGTAGGTCAAATTTTGTTTGTGGGAGAATTTAAAAAGGGCCTCCTATTGGGCCCCAGGCCTGCTGCAGGTTTCCTCCTTTCTTATGTTCTTATTTCTTACCCAAATCCTAGCCTCAATAAACCCAACAGGAGACGTTCCACTCACAACTACCCTATTTCCAAACCAATACTTTCCTATGTCCTTTCTAAATCTAAAATTACTAATTTAAATCCATTACTGCGGGGTTTTCTCTGGGGAGATATCCCAAAACCTTGTTAATACCCCTTTATTTAAACCTATCTTCCACTTATACACTTCGATCAGGTCTCCCCCCCATTCTTCGTCAACAAATGAATGTAACTTAAAGTCTTTAAACTTTCTTCATAAGGAAGATTTCTAATGCTATGTATTAATTTAGTCATCCTGCGCTGAATGTTTTCTAACGAATTTATGTCCATTCTGTAATATGGAGACCAGAATTGAGCTGCATAATCTAGGTGAGGCCTTACTAATGATGTATAAAGCTGCAGTATGACCTCTGGACTTCTGTTGCTTACACTTCTTGATATAAATCCCAGTAATCTATTTGCCTTATTACGTACGCTTAGGCATTGCTGTCTTGGTTTAAGGTTGCTGCTTACCATAACCCCAAGTCCTTTTCGCAATCTGTATGGCTAAGTTCTACATTATTTAACGTATAAGTGCTAGGGTTATGGACACTCCCGAGCTTCAGAACTTGCATTTATCTACATTGAACTGCATCTGCCATTTTCTGACCAAGAGTAGAGTTTGTCTAAATCCCCTGAAGTTCCCTAACATCTACGTTTGAATCAATTATCCTACCTATCTTCGTGTCATCGGCGAATTTGCTCATATCACTAGCAATTCCTTCATCAAGATCATTGATATATATTATAAACAACAACGGACCCAAGACTGATCCCTGTGGAACGCCACTTGTTACTGATCCCACTCGGATTTAACCCCATTTATGGAACTCTCTGCTTCCTGTCTGTGAGCCATGACTCGATCCACGAGAGCACCCTTCCCCCAATGCCATGAGCTGCTACTTTCTTCAACAGTCTTTGGTGCGGAACTCTATCAAATGCCTTACTAAAATCTAAGTAAACAATATCAAATTCTTTATCGTGGTCAACAGCTCAAAAGCTTTACTGAAGAAAGTTAATAAATTAGTTAGACAAGACCGGCCTCTTGTGAATCATGCTGAGTATCATTAATCAAGCTATGCTTATCGAGATTGCTTCTTATAATCTCAGCTATAATTGACTCTAGCAACTTGCCTACAACACACACACACACACACACACACACACACACACATTCAAGACACTGTACACCGTGTATGTCAGGCCCATACTGGAGTATGCAGCACCTGTTGGAACCCGCACTTGATAAAGCACGTCAAGAAACTAGAGAAAGTACAAAGGTTTGCGACAAGGTTAGTTCCAGAGCTATGGGAATGTCCTATGAAGAAAGATTAAGGGAAATCGGCCTGACGACACTGGAGGACAGGAGGGTCAGGGGAGACATGATAACGACATATAAAATACTGCGTGGAATAGACAAGGTGTACAAAGACGGATGTTCCAGGAGGGGACACAGAAACAAGAGGCCACAATTGAAGTTGAAGACACAAATGAGTCAGAGAGATAGTAGGAAGTATTTCTTCAGTCATAGAGTTGTAAGGCAGTGGAATAGCCTAGAAAATGACGTAGTGGAGGCAGGAACCATACACAGTTTTAAGACGAGGTTTGATAAAGCTCATGGAGCGGGGAGAGAGAGGGCCCAGTAGCAACCGGTGAAGAGGCGGGGCCAGGAGCTAAGACTCGACCCCTGCAACCACAAATAGGTGAGTACAAATAGGTGAGTACACACATACTGAGAGGAATTGACAAGGTGGACAAAGACAGGATGTTCCAGAGATGGGACACAGCAACAAGGGGACACAATTGGAAGTTGAAGACACAGATGACTCACAGGGATGTTAGAAAGTATTTCTTCAGCCACAGAGTAGTCAGGAAGTGGAATAGTTTGGGAAGCGATGTAGTGGAGGCAGGATCCATACATAGCTTTAAGCAGAGGTATGATAAAGCTCACGGTTCAGGGAGAGTGACCTAGTAGCGACCAGTGAAGAGGCGGGGCCAAGAGCTTGGACTCGACCCCTGCAACCTCATCTAGGTGAGTACAACTAGGTGAGTACACGCACACACACCACACACACACACACACACACAACACACACACACACACACACACCACACACAACACACACACACACAAACACACACACACACACAAACACACACACACACACACACACACAAACACACACACACACACACACACACCACACACACACACACACACACACACACACACACACACAACACACAAACACACACACACACCCCACACACACACACACACACACACACACACACACACACACACACAAACAACACACACAACACACACACACAAACACACACACACACACACACAAACACTATATACCTGTTAGAGTGTTACTCTCGGCCTCAGTTTCAATGAAGGCCAGGTGACTGCCGAGAGCTGTGCAGTTGTCCCAAGCCTTCCACCAGACGGTCTTCTCAGAGCTCACCCACACACAGATAGACTCGTAATGTATCCAGCCGTCCGGGCACCATGGCCACACACTACTCACATCCTGTAGTGTTCACAGAAACACCGCACCATCATATTAACACACTCACATAGTAATAGTAGTAGTAGTAATAATAATAATGATGATGATGATGATAATAATAATGATAATATTACAAAATATTACAACTAATAAGAATAACTAATAATTCAACTTCAAATATAATAATAATAGTTGTAATTAGTAGCAGTAGTAATCTACTACTACTGATTATAACTATTATTATTATTATTATTATTATTATTATTATTATTATTATCACTACTAATACTACTTTTACTACTACTGATAATACTTACAATAAAAATAATAATAATAATAATAATAATAATAATAATAATAATAATAATAATAATAATAATAAGAGACCACTCACACTTAAAAACCTAATGCTTATTACTCATTTGTATAAGTATCGACAACATATACATTAGAATGAAGGAAAATGAATTTTAAATAAATTTAATAATAGTCTGTGAATCGAAAACACCTGTTGACACACCTGTTGACACACCTGTTGACACACCTGTTGACACACCTGTAATTCTCTCGCTGCCAGAGATAATTTGTATATATATATTCACTTAGAGGTGTTGCAGTAATATCACCTGTATGGTCACTGCCTGTAATAGCACTCACCTGTATGGTCACTACCAGTGATGGCACCCAGCTGTATGGTCACTACCAGTGATGGCACCCAGCTGTATGGTCACTACCAGTGATGGCACCCAGCTGTATGGTCACTACCAGTGATGGCACCCAGCTGTATGGTCACTACCAGTGATGGCACCCAGCTGTATGGTCACTACCAGTGATGGCACCCAGCTGTATGGTCACTACCAGTGATGGCACCCAGCTGTATGGTCACTACCAGTGATGGCACCCAGCTGTATGGTCACATACCAGTGATGGCACCCAGCTGTATGGTCACTACCAGTGATGGCACCCAGCTGTATGGTCACTACCAGTGATGGCACCCAGCTGTATGGTCACTACCAGTGATGGCACCCAGCTGTATGGTCACTACCAGTGATGGTACCCAGCTGTATGGTCACTACCAGTGATGGTACCCAGCTGTATGTTCACTACCAGTGATGGCACCCAGCTGTATGGTCACTACCAGTGATGGTACCCAGCTGTATGGTCACTACCAGTGATGGCACCCAGCTGTATGGTCACTACCAGTGATGGCACCCAGCTGTATGGTCACTACCAGTGATGGTACCCAGCTGTATGGTCACTTACCAGTGATGGTACCCAGCTGTATGGTCACTACCAGTGATGGCACCCAGCTGTATGGTCACTACCAGTGATGGTACCCAGCTGTATGGTCACTACCAGTGATGGCACCCAGCTGTATGGTCACTACCAGTGATGGTACCCAGCTGTATGGTCACTACCAGTGATGGTACCCAGCTGTATGGTCACTACCAGTGATGGTACCCAGCTGTATGGTCACTACCAGTGATGGCACCCAGCTGTATGGTCACTACCAGTGATGGTACCCAGCTGTATGGTCACTACCAGTGATGGCACCCAGCTGTATGGTCACTACCAGTGATGGTACCCAGCTGTATGGTCACTACCAGTGATGGCACCCAGCTGTATGGTTACTGTCAGTGATGGCACTCACTTGTATGGTCATTGTCAGCGATTGCACTCACCTGTATGGCCACTACCAGTGATGGCACTCACCTGTATGGTCACTACCAGTGATGGCACTCACCTGTATGGTTACTACCAGAGATGGCACTCACCTGTATGGCCACTACCAGTGACGGCACTCACCTGTATGGTCACTACCAGTGATGGCACTCACCTGTATGGTTACTACCAGAGATGGCACTCACCTGTATGGCCACTACCAGTGACGGCACTCACCTGTATGGTCACTACCAGTGATGGCACTCACCTGTATGGTCACTACCAGTGATGACAGCCATCTGTATGGTCACTACCAGTGATGGCACTCACCTGTACGGTCATTGTCACTGTTGGCACTCACCTGTATGGTCATTGTCAGTGTTGGCACTCACCTGTGTGGTCACTACCAGTGATGGCACTCACCTGTATGGTCACTACCAGTGATGACACTTACCTGCATGGCCACCACCAGTGCCAAAAGCAGCAGACGCAACGACCTCATCTGTACAGATGGCTGAGTGAGGGTGACACCTGTCACTACCTGGCTTTATATCCTCGGCTCCGACACCTGTTTTAGAAGGTCTTCTAGCTCCTCCAGCACCTGTCACAGCGCCTGTCGCAGCATCCGTCACAGCACCCGTCACAATACCTGTCACAGCGCCTGTCACAGCGCCTGTCGCATCACCTGTCACAGCACCTGTCTCAGCACCTGTCACAGCACCTGTCACAGCACGTGTCACAGCATCTGATAGCTACCACCACACTACCAATCAGCTACCACCACACCACCAGTCAACTACCACCACACCACCAGTCAACTACCACCACACCACCAGTCAACTACCACCACACCACCAGTCAACTACCACCACACCACCAGTCAACTACCACCACACCACCAGTCAACTACCACAACACCAGTCAACTACCACCACACCACAGTCAACTACCACCACACCACCAGTCAACTACCACCACATCACCAGTCAACTACCACCACACCACCAGTCAACTGCCACAACACCAGTCAACTACCACCACACCACCAGTCAACTACCACCACACCACCAGTCAACTACCACCACATCACCAGTCAACTACCACCACACCACCAGTCAAACTACCACCACACCACCAGTCAACTACCACCACACCACCAGTCAACTACCACCACACCACCAGTCAACTACCACAACACCAGTCAACTACCACCACACCACCAGTCAACTACCACCACACCACCAGTCAACTACCACCACATCACCAGTCAACTACCACCACACCACCAGTCAACTACCACCACACCACCAGTCAACTACCACCACACCACCAGTCAACTACCACCACACCACCAGTCAACTACTACCACATCACCAGTCAACTACCACCAGTCAACTACCACCACACCCCCAGTCAACTACCACCACATCACCAGTCAACTACTATCACACCACCAGTCAACTACTACTACAGCGCCGGCGACATTTCGCTCAATTTAGCACGATCCCCAACATCCGAAACGTCTCCATCTCATCACAACAAGCCACATTATTCCTCCATCTCATCACAACAAGCCACATTATTCCTCCATCTCATCACAACAAGCCACATTATTCCTCCATCTCATCACAACAAGCCACATTATACCTCCATCTCATCACAACAAGCCACTATACCTCCATCTCATCATAACAAGCCACATTATACCTCCATCTCATCATAACAAGCCACATTATACCTCCATCTCATCACAACAAGCCACATTATACCTCCATCTCATCAAAAACAAGCCACATTATACCTCCATCTCTCATAACAAGCCACATTATACCTCCATCTCATCATAACAAGCCACATTATACCTCCATCTCATCACAACAAGCCACATTATACCTCCATCTCATCACAACAAGCCACATTATACCTCCATCTCATCACAACAAGCCACATTATACCTCCATCTCATCATAACAAGCCACATTATTCCTCCATCTCATCATAACAAGCCACATTATACCTCCACCTCATCATAGCCCACATACAGTCTTGTAGACAAACGCCCGTGCCAACACACTCTCTTTTTAATGAATTTTAAAAAAATTTCTAAGTACCTAGCAACCAGAGGTTCAGTTAATTCTTCTCTCAGCTCTTCTCAGTATTTTGTGGTGGTTTTGTGTATGGTACCGACGTGTGGGTTTGTATCCCGGGAGGATAAACTTTAGGATAACAGGTGGTGGCACTAATGAGGGTGTGTCAATACCTGGATAGTTTGTGATTACAGGTATTGAGATGGAACACCTGCGTCAACACCTGCTTGGAGGTGTTCCCTGGGGGGTGTTGCTGGCTCATCCACTGCATTGACTCACTTTTCAGTATGGTCATAACGATGTCTAATTTTTTGGGGGGTATTTTAGATCATTAATTATTTCATAAATCTTCAAAATTTCTTCAGCTTTGAACTCTAGGTTGCAAATACCCGAAGTTCTAAAAATCATGGATGACGATACAAAAAAGTTTAACTCTATCATGACGTACAGAAAAACTAGAGCACATAAGAACAGTTATCTGTTAGTTTTCTGTATATTTTGAAATTAAATTCATGGTTACCCTTAATAATTAAGACATCTCTAAAAGGCAGTGAGTTATTGTGCTCAAACTCGACAGTAAACATTATGGAAGACATTAAACTAGATAATTCACAAAGTAAATAGTTTATACCTATATTCTTTGGCATTACTCAGCCAGCATCATCAGCATGTCTCTACACATTACATTCATTGGGAAGAATTCTTTTTGCAAAATATTCATTTTAATATGAATATTAGTTCAGGGTTATATAATTAATAGAATTTGTGAGGAATTTAAGCTATGCCTGACATGTCACTCATAAATTTCAATTGACATGTGACCTGATAAAATTCCCACTACACCTCCACGTTCAGCGTGTTGGGTCATGTGTAGTCATATGTGAGGTGACATCTCAACATTATAAACCTTATGCTGGCCTATTATTTTTACAGTTCCTTGATAATGTGAGAAATCACGAATGTGCTTGGAAATTCACAATATTTTTCAGAGTGGTTATTTGCCATATATATATATATATATATATATTATATAATATATATATATATATATATATATATATATATATATATATTATATATATATATATATATTTTATATACATAATGCACACACACTGGAACCCTGATCCAAACATATAGCAGACCCAACAGTTCAGGTTCCCTGACACTGAAGAATGAGACATTGTGCGACAATTGGGTATCTTTACTGTAGAAATATTTCGTCAGCCAGTGACTTCATCAGTCCAATGCAAAGAAGAACGATGGAAGATAAGAAGGAGTTTGATGTAATCAGTCCCTCAGCCTGGAGTCGATGTCTTCAGTATTTCACTCTTGATGAAAGTACAGCATATGCACGGAAAAGGGGCTTATATTTCGAAAAAATAAACATTTCCGCTAAAATTTAGTTACCTGAGGGAAAAGACCGTTCAAACAGAACTCAGTAACATTCATGTGACTTATTTGCATTGAGGTTAAAATCGCTTTTTACTAGAGAACATCTACAAAACTGATGATGCATGTATCTCATATATGTATCTCATATATGTATCATATATGTATCTCATATATGTATCTCATATATGTATCATATATGTATCTCATATATGTACATATCTCATTATTGTATCTCATAAATGTCAACCTGTGACCCAATAAAACTTTGTTACTATTTAACTTCATTACCTAACATAATACACCATTCTAGTGATTACACAGCAACACAGTAATGACCATATGACCTGTCTTTGTAATACTCATTTGTACTAAATTGTTATCTGTTTTACAATAATTTTTGTGCCACTGAATATATCATTGCTTAGTTAATCTTAAGTTAATTTTAAGCCTGCCCATAATGCTCTGCATACAAGTGGCTTTGGCATGTTACACTTCAAAAATTGTATTCCTTGTACTTCTCTGTATAATGTTCAAATAAATAAATAAATAAATAAATAAATAAATAAATAAATTGTGAAACTGAAATAAGGTATAAAACGCGACCACTGAGAAGCAGTATATGTGAGAACATATATCAATGTAGCCTGGATAAAGCAGCCCTTATATCTGTGTGTATCTGTGCATTGTTCCACTCACAGTATTGGGCCTCTTTGTTCTATCTGACTTTTGATTGTTCGTGAAAGTTATTGCTGCAATAGTTTACAGAGAAAATGATAGAGTTAACGCAGAAAACGACAAGACTGAGAAGTATGATAGACTAAATAAATAAAGAGACCTTTACTTCGTCGCCATTCACCTGCTACCAGTATGACAAAGACTCCCCACATCACCACTCACCTACTACCAGTATGGCGAAGACTCCACACATCACCACTCACCTGCTACCAATATGACAAAGACTCCCCACATCAGCACTCACCTGCTACCAGTATGGCAAAGACTCCCACACATCGACACTCACCTGCTACCAGTATGACAAAGACTCCCCATATCATCACTCACCTGCTACCAGTATGACAAAGACTCCCCACATCAACACTCACTTGCTACCAGTATGACAAAGACTCCCCACATCAACACTCACCTGCTACCAGTATGACAAAGACTCCCCACATCAACACTCACTTGCTACCAGTATGACAAAGACTCCCCACATCAACACTCACCTGCTACCAGTATGACAAAGACTCCCCACATCAACACTCACTTGCTACCAGTATGACAAAGACTCCCCACATCAACACTCACCTGCTACCAGTATGACAAAGACTCCCCACATCAACACTCACCTGCTACCAGTGTGGCAAAGACTCCCCACATCTGGTATATAGTGAGAGGTGTAGGTGGATGGTGACCATCCTCCTGGCCTGGTGGAAGGTTGCATGTGCTGCCATTGTTGACACTTCTCCTGACCAGCTGTTCCACCCAACCTCTCTTGCAGCTGACTCAACCTGTCTTACAAGATATCCTACTTAAGTCTCCATCTCAGCCTATCTTACAAGATATCTTACTTAAGTCTCCACCTCGAACTGTCTTACAAGATATCCTACCTAAGTCTCCATAACAGAAAAACATTAAGGTAATGTAACTGTGTTATGGTCAGTGTATTTCTTGTTAAGGATAATTTTTACTGGCCGAGCTATGGTAGTGCAGTGGGAAATCCACTGGCTCCAATCTTGGCCTTTTTTTTCTTCTTTGATAGGATTCTTTGATACTCATTTACAATCACAAATTTTGCTTCCTGATCAAATATGGATGACTTTTCTGTAAATAAGGTAATCGCCCTTACATTGTTGGTCTAGTTGCTGCCTTTCTTGTCGTGACCAACTAAGTTTCTCCAGAGTTTGGTAAGTTTATAAAGTCACAGGTACACATATATACAGTTAACATACATAGTGTAAATTATCTAGGATAACCTAAGAAAGTCAGTGTACTCACCTATTTGTGGTTGCAGGGGTTGATTCACAGCTCCTGGCCCCGTCTCTTCGCTGGTCACTACTAAGTCCACTCTCCCTGTGCTGCATGAGCTTTACCGTACCTCTTCTTAAAGCTATGTATGGATCCTGTCTC